CTTTCATTGGCTTTGAAATCTCATGTGGTGAGATAGGGTATTCCTTGGTGTATTTCTTTAAGCAAAACCTCGTCACAAACTTCTCCACGCGCTTTTTATCCGATGGAATGCCGCAGTAGTCCATTGACAGCAAGGGGTGCTCCCCAACAAAGAACTTCTTCCCATTTTCGCCACTATTCAATTTTTGCAGTAGAAGTTGCACAATTTCCTTCACTGGGATGACATTGGCATATGGCTTACAAAGCTTTTTGAAGATGGGATAAAGCACTGAGTCACTTATCCGGAGTCCGTTTCGCTTGGCCTTCTCCAAAACTCTAGGCGTCAGAGTGGTGCGAATGAACAAATTTCTCATTTGTGGAGCAACTGCATTGGGGTCGTGTTGTATAAGCGCAGCAGATGAATTTGTTGCAACCGTCAGCACATCGCCATGTGGGATCTTCTGCTGCTGAAGTTGCTTCGGAAGTTCGTTTACCATTTCTTCCTTCTTCAACTCGAAGTCGTACTTCTCAAGCAACGCTAACTCACAACGAGCTTTGCTCTCTTGAATAGTGTGAAGAATGTCGCGGCAGACCTCGACCATGTGGAAATGACGCTCCACAAAGACGGCCAGAGTGACACGCCAGATTACACCACTATGTTGTAGGTAATCCTCAATAGTTTCCAGCACAATTTTACACACATGAAACTTTGCTTCATTACTACAATGCTCTACGCTAGTCTCATCCATATCCCACAAAATGCCCGCGCACTGGCCAAGGACTTGCATCGTATCCAGCTCCAGCAAGAGTAGATGAACATTATTGAGCTCAGCGGTTATGAGTCCTTTTAGGACCCACAGTCGAAGACATTCTGCGGCAGGTGTGAGATACACGCGCTGCGCATTCATATAGGTGTTTTCATGCGGTTTGAAGGCGCATAGTTCATTATCTTCAAGGGTGTTTTCTGCGCGTCGGGAGGACATAAGAATCATGCGCACACAGTTTGTATCACAGTCATACAAATCCACGTATTCTTCAGATACTTTTTTAATGTTGTAGTATGACAATCTAAAGGCACCAGCACGCCATTTCTGAATAATACCATTCTCTCTCGAAACGATTTGAATACGATCCTGCAGACGCGACACATTACTGAGGTAATTGAATCGAATTCTTTTATTTAGCTGTGGAAGGTGTATGATGTTTGAATGTGTAATTGCATTATTTTCTCGTTGCTCATCATCCTCTAAATCCTGAAGGAAAGGAGGAGGTGCTAAATCTACGCCAATGCTTTCTTCCGTATCCCAATTAGGGATAACTCCTTCATTTATTTTATCCCACGCGTCCAATAGCTCTACCAGTGCTCTATGTTCCGCTGAGAAGCCTGCTGCATGCTGCGCAAGAGGTTGGGTATCCGATGAATCGATCATGTGAATACGGCGGGCGTCTTTTACCATATCATAGTAATGATACGATACAAACACCCCGTGAAGGCGGAATAAGGGGAACATCTCGCACTTTGGCGGCAATACCGTCTCTAGGTAGGCCTCATTGCGAAACAGAAGCCGGAAAAGAAGTTTTGGCTCCACGTGGCTATCTTGCGTTTGCTTTATTTCAGCCTCAGATGGTAACTGAATCACCACAAGGTTGTACTCCCGCATTAAGGAGTGCTCAAAAGGTGGATTGACGGTGTCGGATCCACAAAACGAAAGGAGTGCGTTGCGCTCCCACTTGATTTTTTCTCCAGTGTCTGCACAGTAGCGCGGGGCTTCTAGCAGCACCAGGCGCTGTTCAAGATCCAACACCAGTCCATAACGCAGCACGTTGAATTGAGACTTGTTCAAGACGTACTGGCAGAGTGGTTCCTGTCGGTAGCGGGCAAAGACCGGATGTTTCCATAGTGCCTGACACTCCCTCACAATAAGATCAAAACTGGTATCAAGGGACTCGAGAAATCGCCACATATCGGCAAAGCGACCACAACTTGTTCCGATCGGAGGAAACGCATCCACAGGCGTGGCCCACATAAAGAGATTAAGCGGACAAACATGCTGATCGATGGTCTCCATTTGTGTAATTTTTGCTATCAAAGTCCTATCTGATATTTGCACGCCACAAACCAAGAAACATGCTAATGAGCACGGAAGTAAAGTGAGGTGGAGAAGGGATGAATAACGTAGGAAAAGATATCGGAATGGTTCATGGGTTTGAGCACAAAAAGGTGAGAACTATTTTTTACAAACCTTTCCCCAAGTATAACTTTCTTTCACTCCAATGGTTGCATAAATATGGATATAGGGGTGAAAGAGCACATAATATGCGCCTCTCTCACTCCTTAGACGTGTGTAGATGTAAAAATATTATAAGCAGCTTTATAAAATTCATCTACATTTCTATCAATAAGAGCCCTATACTCCATGTCTTTTTGTTTTATCATGAGGACAATAGTTAAGGAGCTGGGCAACTCCCTAACGTAAATATTATCGTCATTATTAAGCTGTATCACAGCCCTGGCGCCATGTTCGAGCAAAGCAATACGTTCCTCCTCCTCTTCTTCCTCCAAATGTACCGTTTTAGTGAAGCTGCAATTTGTGCTTACCATTTCTTTCCTTGTCCGGATATCATTATCATCCAACTCGTGTGAGTGTGTGAAATCCCCATGAGACGCACGGCGCGGGACCGCGCTATTTGAGTCGTGCTTTGAATTATACGAGGTGTATATCTGGCTCATTCTGACCATAACCTCTATGGCATCGCTACATAAATCATAGGTCCGCGCCTTTAAACGTGTTCGCTCATCAACAGCAATATAAATTTTAGAGCGACTAAGAAACAAATAGCTCAGGCATATGTTACTGTTGCTATTTAACATTTGGAGCAGCTCATTAATGAAGGGAAGTTTGATCTTGATCAGCCGTTGGACGACAAGCGAGAAGGCCTGAAAGACAGAGTGGTCGTAGATCGAGGTAAGATTAAAATTCAGCTTCGGTGGGGTCGTGTTTTCTAACTGTTGTTTGACCTCCTCTTCAACACGGCGCTGCAGGCTGACTAGTAGGTCGACCTGATGGTCCTCACTCAAGGCGTCAACTTTGTGAATAAAAACCTCCACGCAGAGATCAGGGCTATAACGATAGGCGGCGCAAATCGTATCGAGCAACCGCACACGCGCGTCGTCAACAAGTTCACGGCAGTCCATCACAAACACAATCACGCCGCAGTTCTCTAGAAGCTGGTTGACATCGTAGCGGTTTGCGCTGTTTTTTTCATCAAATGGATCGTTTTGTCCAGGAAAATCCCAGACGTCGAAGGTCACGAAATCGTTCGACTGCACGGTGCGTTTGGTAGGCTGCACAGTTGTGGGGAGGTTAACCGATTCGTGTGGCTGCATGCCATCAAAAACAACCTTTTGGATACTGCTCTTACCGGATTTGCGTAACCCCATCAAAAGAACCTTGGGTAATGCGATCATTTTATCAAATGTCTCACTCCCCCTTTGGCTATTTTCTATTTCTTCTCTCAGTGTGACTGATCCTTTCTGTTATTCCAGATCTCACCTCTAGATAGTGTCTGTCAATACTCATAAAACTTTAATTGACGCATAGTTATGTGTGAAAAGCAGGGGGGAAAGGAAGAGAGGATTGAGCTATTAACTTCGCGATAAATCAAAATTTTGAATAATAAAAAAATCCATCCACAATGAACGCATTCCGCTTTTCAAAAGGAGACGAAAGGGGAATATCCGATCCAATATCATTTCAGTTCAATACACTTATCTGCTTTGCAGCATCATTAACAACATAGAAAGGAAGGTATGAAAAAAAAAAACGATCCCTGCTCACAGTCCCACAATGGTAGCATTTAGGCGGTCACAAATGGAGTCCAACATATTCAGCAGATGCGGTGAGCCCATCCGCTTCATGTCATATACGATGTTCCCCAGCACATGCAGTAACTTCTCAGTGCAAATACGCAGCTCCCTTTTCTGGGGAACTGAAACGGCGCTGGCGAACTCCACACACCGATCGCCCCGGCTCAGCTCCTCCGCGGCCAAAGTGTAGAGCACCAGCGCGAGCTGAATATTGTCCAGGTGGAGGCCTCGCTGCTCCGCCTGCCCCCCTGTCCACCCGTCAAAGGCCGTGAAGTCGTCCTCCACGCAGCTCTCCCCGTCGTGCCCGCGGCTGGGCGACTGTGTGACGCTCGACTCGGCGGAGGGCGTCGTGTCCAGCGTCCGAGCCTTCACCGTGGACCTCGCGCGACGGGTGATCTGGAACTCGTGCGCTATAAAGTGCCACAAGACATCCAAGCTGAACACGGCCTTTTCCCCTGTTGCACCGCCTGTCATCCAATTCCCTGTCGCAGCGGTAAAGGTCCCTGGGCTTCGGCTGTGCTGGGAGGAAAGGGCGGCAACCACCGCACAGACTTCACCTTTCTCGTTGATGAGGAAAGGGACACCGTGGAAAGGTTGGATGATGAAAAAGGTCAGTTGATTTTGCACGGCGCGCACCAACACATTTCGGATCGTGTTCTTTTCCGACAAAAGAATCGCAGGATCGTTGCTGGAAGTGGTGTGAAAGCTGTGAAGCCGATAACGGTGGATCCGAAGAAAACACTGCTGAATCAAGGGAATCAGTGACGACATTGGTCGGACCAGGACCGATAACTGTGCTACCAGCCTCACACACAGCTCTAACTCCTCTACATCCCAAACAAACAATGGCACAGGCGCATGGTCTGGTCTTATTACCTCAGAAAAACCACCTAGAGCTGTAAGAAAACGGCTAAAATACGGTAATTTCGTCTCGATCAACTCGAGCAACGCGCGCTGCGACACGGAATGATTTAATGGTACATCATCATTGAATTCATGGATTCTGGAGAGCGTGGATATGGCAGTAGAAAGAAGCTCCAGCAGGGTGCACCACACGATATGCCAGCTCTGACGGTGGTACACGAGAGCGGAATCCAGGGTGAAAGTGGTGGAAAATGCATTTAGGGTGTCCATCATTGCCAATATATCTTCTAATGGAAGCAAGGAAAGTGCCCCTATAGTTCGTGCCTTTAGAAGCGCGCCTCGCATACAGCGCAGCGCCAGTGCAAAGTACGACGTGTGGATATCCCCCGGGGAATTCGCCATAGTTGGAAAATAAACAGTGGTTGCCCTTCGGAAGAGACAACGTATTAATGGCGCCAAGACGAGAAGAGGGCACGAATTGGGTGGGAGAGATTCGAAAATTTTAATACAGCCCTCCAGGAAAATCAAGTGCTCGGGTCCAATTTCTACTTTTTTTTGTCTTTCTTCCTCAAATAGCACGTCGGCTAGTATATAAAAAATCCTATCTTCGAACTCTACCCCGACATTGTCTTCCCTCCCTAGAGCCGCAACGACGTTCAGGCAAGGATTGAGGAGAGTAAGATGCTTTGTATTTTGCCTCATGAACTCTAAAAAGTGATACAAAACGCGCTGGGTTGGCGCATCAAGTTCTAACCTCAGGCTGCAACTTAACGAAAAGGATTCCAAGACACGTGATACAGCATTCGTCAGTTGTAGACATTGCAGCGTGCAGTCCCACAGCGACCGCCCTAAGAGGGGTGCAGTAGGCTTACACTGAGTGACCCATTCAATAGCGCTCCGCAGAGTCTCAAAGTAATTCCTTAAAAAGATGCGGCTCGACTCTGCTTCGTTTACACTCAACCAAAGCGTGCCTTCCAAGGTGACCGCCATGCGTCTTACAGCTTCTAACGTTGAAGCCATAAGATTGAACGTCACGTCGTCGCTAGAGCCAATAAAGCAGTATGTTTCACCGAGTATAAGCGGGCACACCATCCGGTAAGCAGCTTCCTCCACTTCGATTGAGTTCGGCAACACTTCCGTGTGAAAGGGTTTTTGCCCTGACGAGGAGCAGCCCGTCGTTGTAGAAGCGTGACCGGAGCGGGGAGCCTCAAACCAAGAGAAGGTTGGGTGGTGGTTCCACAGCTGCTTTCGGTGAAGCGGAAGCTGCGAGATTGTCAGCTGAGGGTCCATCGTCATGAGACCGTTTGCTCTGGCCAAGGATAGCGTTGTAGAAGGCAGAATCGCACTTGAAGTCGAAGTAGTCAACGCAATCTGCCATTCTTGCATTGGTGTCCCTGAAGCGTGGTAGACTTTCCGGCTAAGCTCCTCATAGGAGCGAACCACTCGTCTGAGTAATGCAGAACCGTGCCGCAATACAAGGTCCATCGTATCAGTGTGCACAGCCTGGCCGCCTTTTAAAAGTGGAGTGTTAGCGTATTTAACATTGGTGTTAGCCAAACTGGAATCACCAGGGCTATCGGCCAGAGTCAGTCCCCGACGAGAGGACCCGGTCCCGCGTGCTGTTTGCCCGCTCTTTGGAAGCTTGCACATCTGAATCGAGATCATGGCGTTGATGAAATGGGTGACGGCGGCGGTCATGGCGGCCTGCTCAAAGATGTGACAAGTGTCATCCGCGGTTAAGCCATCCTCAGAGAGAAAGGGAGTCACCCGGTGGAGCGGCAAGGATTCTGTGAGACCTAACGCAATGAGGAGTTCAAGTGCCAATGACTTTTCGGCAAATGACACATCTTCGTGAAGGACGATCTCGGACAACACCTTCGAGATGGTCAAGTCCGCAGGCTCCACGGCTTGCCGGTTGGTAGGGATACTATCGGGACCTGTTAAGTACTGTAAAGTCGCCAGGTCGCGCATCCCCATCACGGATAGGACCGAAAGGCGAATCACATTTCCCGGAGTCCCGATTTTGGCCCGGAGGACCTGATGAAGGGACACCGAGAGGGCCCGCCCTGTGTGGCCCAGCAGGTTTGAGCTCAGGGCGGGAAATAAGGCGTGGCCCCGCTGCAGCGCCGCACCCAGAAGCTGCGCGGCGGGCAAACAGGGTGGGAACTTTGGCAGCATAAGACAGCTTAAAAGTAAATAACTGATGGGAACCTCGTTCCCGTCATTACAACCCTCCATGCTTGGTAATAAACTGGTTGCAACGGGTGAAAACTGTTTACAAACCCGCATTATTTCTAGAACAACCGTCAGCGAGAGCTCGATAAGTCTAAAAGTCGAGTGACCGCAAAAGGAGAGAGATCCAGTCTGGTAGACTCGAATAAGTCCCGCCACACCTTCAAAAAGCTGCTCAATCAAAAATTTTGCATTCTCTTGTGTTGTTTCCTCTAACATAGTTTGGATACGAAACCCAATTGTTTCCGTTGTCTCTTCCAGCTGAACCATAAGGTAAGCGAAGAATTCCACCGCCCCTGGGCTGCCGGTCAGCACACCCTTACCGAAGTCCGTTAGAAAGAGGAGGAGACGACTGGGGGAGATTATCCTCTCCTCTGCCCCCTGACAAAGATTCACGTATGCTGTTAGATGCAACATGGTTAAATTTACAGCGTTTGTGAACCCTTTGCCAAGGGCAGTGGCAAGATTTTCGGTCAGGAGCTTGGAGGCCACGCTTGACAAGCTCTTCACTGCGTTAAAATGAACCTTCAGTATGCTGAGGAGCATGCGTAAAACGATGACATCTTGTCGCTCGATAAAAAAAACATCAGACTTTAGATGATGAAAAAGAAGCTGGACAAATAGTTCAAATAGGTTACGGTTAGCAATGGTGTTGGCCAGGCTCATTTCATGTGGAAATAACGTTAATATGGTGTAAAGCAGCGAAACTGCAGCGTTGTAAAAGCTTCCATGTGCATGCTGCGGAGGGGAAGCAATTAGTGACACGGACATAACTTTATGAATCAAAAATTCCATGCACTGCGAGAGTAAGTTCAACTCGTTCCCCCTCCAAATAGGCAAGGCAGGAAAGGGTAACTTCGAAATTATTTGATTAGATGCACTAGTGCAGGGCAACGGTGCGGTAGTACCCGCACCTTCAGAAGGAGCTAACGGCCGATGCACTCGATCTAGGAAAAAGATCCTGTCTGAATCGCCAAGGCGATCGCAGTGGAAAAGAGAAGCGGCTGATATATAGGAATAAAGTGTTAGGAAGAAAACACAGCGGGCCTCCGTGGTGTCGAAGTTAAGGTGTGTTGCCGCAGCAGGATGACCATCACGGCCTAGCACCATTGTCCCAATCTGCTCCTTGTCGGGTAATAAAAGAGAAGTTTGTGGTACATGTGGAGATTTAGACCGATCCATCTCCCAATCAGTGCCTTCTGCATACGCAAGAAACAGTGCCTCATCCCTTCCTTCGACCATATCAGAGCAAGATGAAGGTGAGAAAACGCAGGCTCTCAAGTGAAAACGAACAAATTCGAGAAATGCGAAGATTCCAGGCGGCATCATTGACCACGTGAACGCGTAGATAAAACAGCTTCTCGAAATACTCATGAGCGCTGACATACTGCAGCAAGTCCACCAGAAAGCTGACAAATGCGTCCAAAATTTTTGAAGCGTGACACCGAGAATACGTTTGATGAGGAAAACGTGTTGCCTCGCGTAGGAACCTTCCTTTGAAAAGATATCATCGACCTCAAAGTCGTACGTGGTGCACTGTCGAAGCACTTCCAGTGCCTGTTGAAGCCACCGTTCCACAGAAGAACCTGCATTTTTTAGTGAAAAACAGGGAACGGCGGCCATAAGAATGAAATTCATAACGTTTGTTTGGCTTGAACGCTCCGAGAGTGAACCATCGAGCAAGCTCTGAAGCGTCGCGAGCGAGATACGAGATATATGCCTCACAACAACGCACACCAAAACAAGTGACAAGTGCTGAAGTTGAGGCACCAAGCGGCCGGTACCACAGAATTGGTTTGCGATATTAGTCATTCGATTGAGTAATTCACCGGTTATCAGAGTTTCACTTTCAGTCTCGTTCAGATGGAATGAGAAGTAAAACAAGATATCCACGTACAACACTAATACCTGCTTCAACAGCGCTACCACAACAGGCCTCGATGAAGTCTGCAGTCCTTTTTGCATTTTCTCCATGCGTGAAACAAGAACTTGAACAAGGTGATCTGCCTTTAGTTTTTGCATTAACTTGCGGTAGAGAGATGGAAACCCACCCGACATGAACGCTGCAGGTGGCCTCTGAAGAATTGCCAACAAAACGCTCATCTCACAAATGTGTCTACGATAGAACTGTTCCTCATCGGGCAAAAGATTAGTCAAGACGAATCCAGGGTCCCTTCCATCCCATTCTCTATCCTCGGCGTGAACCCTTTCTACTTGAACGTTCTTTGTAGAAAAAGAATCTATAAAATTGCCCCTTACAAAGAGGTCCAAATCCTTTTCCATGAGAAGTTCAGACGCAAAAGAGCTTTTTCCGACCATTGCCTCAACCAAGTGATCAACTTTGAAAGATGACTCTCCGCACACCTCATCAGGAGTATTTTCATCGATCACAAACAGGTTTATGACGGCATGAAACATCGGGGATGAAATATCAAGATCATCAAGTAAAAAAGCAACGCTTTCTAAAAAAGTTTGTCGCTCATTTGGATGTACACTTGACTTGGATAACATTTCCCCGACCTTGTATAAAAATGATTTTTTGAAGTAACCCGCTGCGTCTATGTTGATTTTATCGAAAACGAGAACTCGAGAAGGGAAAAAAGGTATAATTTATATATTTAAAAGGCTTCACTTCAATTTGCCTTTTTATTCCTTTCAGAAAAAACGAAATTCACAGAGAACAGGATCGAATAAAACCCTACTGCGAGTTAACTCGAGTAATGTAGGTAAAACAAAAAACTCGCTTTTGATTCATCGAAAAGATGGTTACAAGCGCTAATGAAGACATAATGAATAATTTTTTTTATGAGTTGAAGTGCACTTTTTTCCCTCTATGCTTCTTTGGTTTAATGAATAACGCCAAATGAATATTTTCTCCACCTTCTATGGAAAGTGATCACCTGTGTATTTGACGGAAGTATTAAACATTGAAAAAAACGGTAACTATAGGATTCGTACATGTCTCTCACATTTTCTCTTTATTTTTTTTCCCTCTCACTCCATCTATATATATAAATATATTTCCTATAATGCAATAATAACAATTCAGACACATGAATGATGCATTTAGATACACGTCATACCGATATCACTTGATCTCGTAAGACATTCAAACAAAATCATCTTTACCGTGCCCTATTAAAGAGCAACTAATGGTCATTAGAAATTTTTCTAGGAATAAGTCAATAGTATGTAAAAAACAAAACTAGATTTACATCCCATCATTCTGCCTATCGAAATTCTTTGAATGCATACCCCACATACCAATTACTTTTCTCACTTTTCTTAACCCCCTCGTTAGGTCGGTCACATTACGGTTCAAATCAATCACGTCTTTTGGGTGTGATGGAAAGGATGTTAATATTTAAAAATGAGGCAACTTGACGGAAAACGCTTATAATCATGTAGCTATATTGAAAAACCCCAAATAATGTGAGAAACGTCATGGCAATCCCGAGGAAGTGTTCTATGGTAGAGCGCTTAATGAAATCTAACCCATAAAAATGGACAGCGACGGAAGCTCCAGTGATAACAAAGGTTAGAATGTAGAGTGGATTTGAGTAGGAGTATGGCATCCCAGAAAGTCTCGATAACGTTAAACGAGTCGACATAAACGAGATCAGAAATCCAAAGCTCAACTCAAAAGTTAATGGAAATGTATCATGAACTTCAGGATACGCGATATAGAATAAAATATTCAATATTGCTATCAGAACCACTGGTAGTGCTATTATAAAACACATGGGCTTACTCTTTTGTATAGTTGGTACGGTAATGACGTGCGCGATATTCATTAGAATTGTAAAAACAATTGAACAAACGGCGAACAGAAAGCCAATACTCCGACCCGATCCAATCTGAATGACTATTGGATCATTCGAGAACGAAGCTGTCAAGCTACCTGGGATGTGGATATTATAGGGACCTATAAGCATTTTGTCATATAACGATGTCGAATAACGGCCGGTAAGAAAGAAGAGTACGCAGCTTAACAGAATTCCCTCGGTAGGTGCACTAAAGTATCCTAGATCAAGGGTACCGGTGCTATATTGCTCCCAAATCGATGCAAATAAGGCCAATGAAGATAGTAGGAAGTAGCTAAAAGTCATCCAAGGAGGCATATTTACCATCAAAACAACGTTCATTTGGAAAAGTGGTATCAAGAAGGCATCACAACCATGATCGAAGAGCTCACCAAGAGGGCTTGTCGTCCCTGTCCTGCGTGCCTGTTTTCCATCAATAGCATCCATTGTTTGGTAAAAAAATGCGCTGGCGCCCGCGTAGTACCACAGCCACGCCGGATACACCGCATTTTGAGTGAAGTAGTAAAAGGACACCAAAAGGGGACTTGACAACCCAACCAAAAATCCAATGAATGTGATCATGTTCGAGGCGACTGTCATGGGAACCAAACCTACTACGAAGTTCCAGTAAGACTGCATTACATAACGGCTTAAGATGGAGCGGTCGCAGCCTGAGTACTTGTATTTTTTAAGATTAATCAGATACTCGGATGGTATGAATTCGCTGAAACCTAACTTAGAACCCTTCCGGCTGTTGGCTGCGGAAGCCTTGCCTCCTTTTGAGGAAGTGGGTACCATACTTCCCACAAATCAATGAATATATTGATTGATCACAGATTCCTTCCTTTTTTTTCGTTTGGAGTTATATTTGTGACCTATTGCTATCACCTTAAGTACTTTCTTCAATAGACTGAAAAAGTGCGTGAATATTATAGTTCATGTGTTTATATATTTAAAAAGAAATTAATCATACAAACCTCCATAAACACCTACCCCATCAATGTATCCGTTTGAAATATTTTAGTGTAATGCCTTACGTCTTGAGTGTACCATTCTATTTTAAGAACATCAGCTATATTTAATTCTTGCATGCGCCAATGTTAGCATGAAAATGTAATTAAAAGAAGCAAGTCAAAAAAATAAGCCATAAAATAAGAATAAAAAATAGTAGAAGGTTTTCATGAGGAAAAATAATAATTTAGTTAGATAAAAAGAGATATTAAAATCATAAAGAATAATAATATAATATATATTTTTGTTTAAGAGCTGTATTTTGGCGATGTGTAGTAGTTTATGAATTTGACTTCCACTTTTTTTTTAAGTATTTATGTCTTTATCATAAGATGGTCTTTTAAAATTCCAAGTTGTAGTATGACTTTTGAAATTTTGACCTTCGTTTGCTCCCTTTTAGGTACCTTTTCATTAAGAGAGAGTTACTGGTGTATTTTTTAAAATACAAACTTATCTTCCTGCTTATCCATATGCTTCCATATAAAAGCAAAAACAATGAAAAATTAAGTCATACAATTCATTCAAAATGTAATCTCAAAGGCAAATGATTCTCGGGAACAAAAATCAACAAAATCAGACTATTTTGATGAGAGATAATTCGCATCATTCTTAGACTATAAGTTTCTTTGCATCTTCCGCGGTGGCAATGTAGTCAACGGGCCCTTCCGGGTTCAAAAGCCGCTGGAGGGTGCATATACGTGGGATTCCCATCACAGTGAGGGCCTCGAGAGAGACCCATTTGTTAAAGGGCTGGACACAGGGCATCGAGAAGTCGACGGAGCCGGAGGCCTCGGCCGAGGATCGCTGCGTTAGACTGTCCGAGGCGACAATGAGCCTGAGGTCGTTCTTTTGGCGCGCCATCTCGGTGTGCACGGCGAGGTGGCGCCGCAGCTTGGTATAGCTCCGCGGGATGAACCTGCCCCCCACCCCCGCCCTATCGACATAGTCCATCACGTGCGCGCGCAGGTCGCCGTGTTGGGTGTGCCGCCGTAAGGCCCGCTGCGCTGAAGACGACGACCCCGCACGAGGGTGAGAGTCACACCTTGTGCCAGAAGGCCGCGGCGTCGGCGAAGACGAGGGTGGGGGGCCCTTCGCCGTGTCTACCCCCACCTCCCCTGGCAGGTGGGTGAAGGCCTGGGGGATGACACAGCCGTGGTAGAGGGGCGTGGGGACGGTGGTCCCCTCGAGGCTGAGGATGAAGAGGGTCAGGCCGTCACAGGGGAAGGGGGGGAGGCCGAGACGGGCCAGTCACTCCGCAAGGCCTCTCGCCGTGTCTCGTCCCTTGTCCTGTCACTCAAAAGGGGGGGGGAGGGGAGAAGGGCGCGGGGTCGCCGTAAAAGACCCCCTCCGGCGTATGGGGAGATCTGGCCAAGAAGGCAAAATAGGCCTTCGCGTCAAAGGCGTTTTCGGCGTACATGTGCATTGTGGTGTGCAGCTCCTTCTGTAATACCATGTGTAGCAGGATGAACTAAAGGTAGACTTTACTATAGGAGTGGGTATAAAGAGGACAGAAAAAAGGGGTTATTGGAACAAGCATCTCTGTATAGCAATCAATTTAAAGGGAAAGGAAATCTATAAAAGATAATTCAAACGAAATCTTGTCTCCATTCACCCTATACATACACAAAATGCATATATATCTATATATATTTATAAATATATAAATATATATACATATGTAAGTCAAAAATTAACACTGAGTAAGCTAACAAAAAAGAAAACTATCAGTAGTACATCTAGAGCTTAGTAGAATAAGGTTATAGGAAATGAAATAATGTAAGCTTTTATTACAGTTCGAGAAAATGAAAGGACTTATAGTTCCGTAAATCGTATAATATGTCATCTCTAAAGCCAAAGAGAATCATGACAAGACGGAAAAAAATCATATTAAAACAGGATGTTTAGCGGTCTGATGCAAAATGGAAGTTAAACAAGAGGTGACTCAACTTAAATCTCATTCCCTTGTGCTTTCAATTTATGTCCTCTGTTAACCTTTTTAAATCGAATTTCTAGAGTTCGCTCGATAATCCTTTTCTTAGTATATCACAGACAAAGCGATATATATGTTTATCTGCTCTGAAAAAAATCCAAGAAGAGGTTGTTTGCGAACACGAAAAGTTACATTACTAAACTAAGCCTCACTAACTGTTGGTTTTCTAATTAATATCTTTTCTAGCAAAGCCATAACAATTTCAGGAGGGATTTTTTTATATATACTCCGTATTTTGTTTACCCTTATTGCTGTGCTTTGTCCTAATAGAATAAATTACGTAATATAAAGTGAGCTAAAAAAGAAGAGCTCCGTAAAAATGACGTATTCGAACACTCTTCGAAGGACTACGCATTTATTTAAATCTCAAGATTTACAAAACTGTGCGAAGTCAACAAACCGTAACAAAAGCTAAAACATTATTAATAAAAGAAATGACAATTAAATTTGTAAGAACATACACTAACAAGATTATCTATTGTTCTACATGAAGTCTAAATAATGAAATATCACACTAATCTATTAAAGATAATATTTCAAGAGAAAGTAATTTTAGACATAACAATGTGCAGACCTTCATTTGGCTATTTCTTAGTCGAGCTCTTGCTCCGGGGCTTTGGGACATTCTTGGTTTTTTTGATCCTATTAACAGCCTTTGAAACTTTTGGAACCTTGATGACTCTTTTGATACCCTTTTTTTTCATTTCGTTAAGTGTCGATTGAATTTTGCCATCATCTAGACCCAGGCCTTTCAACTCATTAGCCAAATCCACTGGCTTCTGAAGTTCATATAGCTGTGAAAGAGCAGAAAAACGCTGCTTGTAATTGAGATCCTTGACTTTGTTATAGTTTGCCTTCACGAAATTTGAAAAATCACTATTGGGCCTTTTGGTTCGTCGAGTCTTTGTAACTTTTTTCTTTAAACTAGGATAAGCTTTTGCACGTTTTTGAAGGTCGCGACGCTGTTTCTGGGGAAGTTCATTATACATCTTTGACAATACCTGTGCTCGACTGGCTATTGAAATGCCTTTCAGAGCTGGGTTGTTCTTCTGGTCCATTAAGAAGATGGAGAATGGACTAACTCCACGTAGTATCCTAGATAGCCATAGCATTTTTATCGACTTGACTGGCACGTAAATTCGTAGGAAAACTTATAGAGATAAGATTTTATGCAATCTGATTGATATTTTTTAATTATGTTTCCTTTTTGGTGTGTTTACTAATTTGAGTGGAAAATGCGTGTAAACGACGTGTGGAAATAAGCTTAACACGGCTCATATTTTTAAAAGACATTGCTACCCATTTTTATTGTTATGAATATCTTTAGAAATTGTAAAAACATTTACATTGTGGGCGCTTGCATTTTTTTTTTTTGATGGGTTCTTCAGGTTCACTACCATTCAGACATTTTAATCCTCATTATTGTAGTAGCCGTGAACCCATAATTTAACAAACTGCAGTAAAAACAACATAACCGATCACATATAATGCGCAAAATGGGGCAATCGCACATAAAATAGTTAGCTTACTACGCACCTATTCGTTTTTCTTTTGAGCAGCTTCCGATTCTGCTGCATTTGATTTACAACCAGTTATTGATTGCTCAAATATAGAAGTCAACTCCTGGAATTTTTTGATTTGTTTACGAAGCGTCTCAGCCTTAGCGTCGAGGACTGAAACGCGTTCGGCCTCCGCATTTCGCTCTTTCTGCACGCGCTGAGCCCGCGCGATAGCGGCCGCGCGGTCGTTCTCCAAAGTACGCATCTGGCGAACCCGACGTTCCTTGTCTACGCTAGCTTTTTCATAGGCTTCTTTGGTCTTATCAAGATTCTCTTTAATGCCGACAAAGCGCTGGGCATAGACATCGACTTGGCGCCTTACCTCGTCATGCTCTTGCCGGACCTTCTCAAGTTGTGCGCTCTGCTCCTCCAATTCCTTTTTAACCTGCTGAATATACGAAGGGGCGTCATCTTGTTTTTTCTGAATATTCTCCACCTCATGGCCAAGGTAGGAAATCATTTTATCGTGTTGAATCCTAAGATCCGGTAGGCGGCTTTCAAAGAGCTCCTTCTTCTGGCCTAGGCTATTCGCCCTTTCTATCTCCGCGGCTAGTTTCTGCCCAATTTCACTTTCCACCTCCGTAACACGGGCAATGTGGGCCTGGAACTCGGCCGAGATATCCTCGCGCGCTAACTTGTCCTTTAACTGTGCTTGAGTGTACTCGTTCTCGAGCTCAGCCTTCACGTTTTCAAATTCCTCCTGAAGCTTAGTGAGATTATCTACCATTTTATTCTCTTTTTCCAACGCACTTCGCAGACTTGCAGACTGTCGCTCTAAAGAATTGACTTGATCCTCATCAGCCTTGATCGACTCCGTCAAATTGTGCGACCTGAGCTTCTCTAGAAACAGACGAGGCGCTAGCACACTCATGAAGATTAATTAATGTGATAAAGCTAAGTATATTTAAAAATCTAAACAAAGTGCTTGACTTCCTTTATTAAAGTTAAAGTTAAAACTCTTTGGAGTCCAGTGAGGGTTAAAGAGAATAATAAGTGCAAAGGCGTCGGGAGAATCGAAGAAAATGTTTCTGCAATCTAATAGGCAATATTTTGAAAAAATGCATAACCAGATGATCAATACTGTCTTTGAATACCTAAGATGAGCAATACAGCAAAAAAGGCTCAGAATTTTCAAATTTGAACCGAAAAGATGCAAGCTTAAGTAGAAATAAGCGCCAATATATCTGCAATAAAAATACGCCTGATAGCAAATTAGCGTATTTGAATTCAACTATGAATTCGTTGAGGGGGGAGGGAAATCTCATTCAAGGGTATATCGAATTAAACCCTTCAATAATCACGAAGGAAAAGGTCTAGAGGGATACAATTTTTACAAGCAATGAATCAAAACAAGAAATATTTTATTTCATAATAAGATAGGGAAGTATTAAAGATTGAAAATAATACTTTTCAAGCCGCATATGGGTAATGAACGAGTCAATCACAATCGCTACCATTGTTTGTTTTATTTTAGAGGTGCACTCATGAGTCTTTTTAGGGGTAAGACAAAGGTGGGAAATGGCAACTACTCGTGGAGCTGTTCGTGTGAAAAGCAGCTCGTTTGAGATCAAAACAAGTAACTCAAAATAGTACACAAGCGCCTCAGTCATAGTGGTGTTGATTCCCCAACATGAGCAATGAAATCCAGAAAAATAACTAAAAGGGATTGTAATGCTGTAGAGCAAAAAGGGATCAGCTCCCCTGATGGGCCAACTTGCTTTGTAATCAAATATACTTTTAATACTGTAGATCGATCGAGAGCAACTCAACGTTATCATAACATCAATTCTTTGCGATTAATCTCTGTGTATCCCCCTAAAAGACCGCTAGAGTCTTTGCAAGAGCACGCTGGAAGAGTGGCTTAATACCTACATATTCAGGCGGCGGTGTGCATAAGCCTCATAATTCTGGAACCTTTCTCCAATGCAGATGGACGGCCAAAACTCATATATGCTTATTTTTCTATTCGATCCTTCTCTGATCCTCTAAAGTTAAATAGAAATAGGTTAAATAATAGATTTAATTATTAACCTCATTCACGAAACATCACAATAGGTGATAATATTATTCAGAATAAGGAGTAAATGTAAGCATATGAACTATTTGTTGCATGTATGATATATTAAAAGCAAGAATGCATATCATATATATATATATGATATATTCATATATTTAGTTTTATAATGAGGGAGGGAAAGAAAGTAAATACGGAATGAGGCATTGAGCCATAGAATACAAATTATTTTGTAGTACACGTCTGAGTGATCCTCAGACAAGAGAATAGTTCCCATGCTCAGTTCTGTAAATCGCTTTTTACAAAGCGCCTGAAGCTGGATCCAGCACGATTAGAAGTTTCAGACATTGGCAGGTATACGACTTTGGAAGGCACCGTCTCGTCGAACATAAAAAGCCTGACCTCGCCGCCATACCGTGTTCGCACATCCTTGTCAACTTTTTGCAACATATTATCGCACACCCCGCACGGAAAGAGCGGGTTGATGTTTACCACATTCGCTCCGTGGACGAAAAGCTCACGGACAGACCACGTGGGCACCCCTAAAGACGCCAGTTTTCCCATCGCATTCTGCTCTGAGCAGCGCGAGCCGCTCGGGGTGCTGAGCTCGTAGTTCACGCCTACCTCCCAGCGCCGCGGGCAGGAGCACCATGACCGCGCCGGGAAGCCAATATCTTTCTCCGGGGGGATCGGCGGGAGGGCGGCGGCCCCTCCCCTCTCTCCCTCCTCCTCCTCTTCCGCCTCCGGGGTGATCCCCCCGCAGCCACAGGCCCGCACATCAACGTAGGTGAGGACGGAGGTCACCACCGTCCTACTGGGGTTGTGCTTCCGCCAGCTGCAGTGGGCGTGGCCGTCGCGGAAGCCCTGGATGAGGCGGGTGACCTTCCACAGGAAGGAGTCCGCGGGCTCCTTCGCCAGAGGGACGACTTGGTACCGCTCGTTCAGGTCGAACCGGGCGCGGATGATGTCACAGGCGTTGAGCACGTGGGGGTGCCAGGGGAAGTGGTAAAAGCCGGCCAGGGACATTTGTAACAGGTCCCCCACCCGCTGAACCCCGGCGGGGAGGTCGGGCCTCGGCCGGACTCGCGGGAAGGTCTGCAGGACGTCCTCCAGCAAGGCCTCGGTGTCGAGCTTGCGAAGCTGGCTCGTGATCAGGATGGCCTCCGCCCAACACGGCGGGATGTTGGCGAGGAGAGATTCGAAGGCGGTGTCCCCAAGGATCTGGAGATCCCCAACGGTCTCCACACCTTTTTCTGTTAAGGCGTTGAAGAAGTTGGTTTGTGACTGTTTGGACAGGAAATTCAGCGCGGTGGGCCCGATCCACTTCCTTAGTAGGGTGTCCGCATTGGGCACGACGGCAGACATCACGTCAATCTTCGCATGGATGTAGAGGCAATAGCGGCCATATTTGCAATTTTGGTTAAAGCCGCAGAGGGTGGGCACTACCGCCTGCACTGCCTGCACCTCCAGCAAGCCGAGAGCGAAATAGTACCCTGCTGTGGGGATGATATCACCTTGAGAAAGTCGAAGATTACGCCCACGCACGCAAACAGTCAAGGCGATTGGCTCGAGCGTGTCCACCCGCAGATTCCACCTCTCCGGTAGAACATGTGGGCTTTCGCAACGGCAGCCTCCTTCATTGCACAAGCTAAAACATCGGTTTAGTTTGGTATGGGATAAGGTCCACATGAGGGGTGGTGGCAACACATCTTTTTTTTTGTACATAA